TGAGAGGTGTAGGACTTTCCTTCTGCCTAAATATGCATAGGATATGCATAAGAACACTATGGAGCCATTGCAGTTTCCAACTAGGGTAACTTCAGGTGCAATTAACCCACACTGAAATGATGCCGCTGTTATTTGCAATAGGTGTGTTTTTAGTTCTAAAAGGAGCATTTTCACATACTCTTGACTGCCTGTTTGTAGAGGGAGAAGCAGGAGCTCATAACTCCTGAAAGAGTAATTCTGTAGCTGGGTGTTAAGATGCACCCCTTGGGGTGGGGTGGATATTAGCACTGTGGGACATCTGTCAGGCTAGGGGGCTGCTGACTGCTGTTTTGGCTTGAGCAAGTCTGTTAGTCCAAGCAGCAAATGGTGCAGAAGTAAGAGAAAGAAGTACCGACAGGTGGAGTGAATATAACACCCCAACTCCTGGGAGGTGAGAGGCAGCTGCCATTTGATTTATGACTGGAGAGAAAAAGCCAGACACTGGTGAGGCGAGTGTATCATGGGAATACGAGCCCTCTCGCCTTTGCCTCAGCTTTCCCGAGCCCACTCCAGAACGTTATCGGTAGGTCAGTCCATGCCTCAATCCCAACCGGGTTTCTCTTGGGATAATTACGGTAACAGCTGAGTCACCGGCCTTTGTGTGCAGGGAGGCACGTAGCAGCATAGGGGCTCTGGGGGAAGCCCTCTTTCCCCCCTCCACCCCTGCCTCCTCCCTGCTGCCCGCAAGCGGGAGAAGCTGCCCGGGGCTGCTGCCAGAGCCCCGGGCTTTAAAGGGCAGAAGTGTCACCAGCAGGCTCACATTCCTCCTGCAATTCAACGACGCCCCACGGCCCCCCTAGCAGTGAACACCCCTTAATCGCGTCACCTTTCCTCCCGCCCACACGTATCACCTTATTCTAGTAAGAGCATCGCTTTCCCCTCAGCCCGCCCGCTTGTCTTTAATATCTGCAGAACAGGCAACCCTTTAACAGATAACGCTCCTCCCCCTCCCCCACATACCCTATCACCTCTTGCTTTTCCGCACCATGTTAGAATGGTGGAGATTTTCTGCATCACAGGTGCCTGTTCAACAGGTAGAGCTTTCCCCACTCAGCTTAGATTTCTGCATAGTGGGCACTTGTTATACAGGTGGGGGTGGAGGAGAAACCACAGCAGCGGTTAGCCTATTTGTTCCCCATTTCTGAACACAACCACATCCTCCCCCTCCCCTCCTAGCCAGTATTTCAGTGAGTCTTAAACCTCCCCCCACCCCTGCTTCCAAGGAGTGTTGCCAAGGCAGACACCAGCTGAAAATATGAGAACCCTTCCACATGCTTTTCCCTTCCCCACACAACCAATAACAACAAGCCTTGTGGCAGATTAATTGCAAAAGAAGCCTCCATGGACTCAAATCCAAGGATTGCACTCTAGCTAAGAAAACTATCCCTCTAGAAGCAGTTACCCCAAAAGACCAGGGCAGCAGGAGAGCAGCAAGCAAAGCAATTCATTGGCATGCTCCTTGCAGAGAACTATTCCTGATTGTCACAATACAGTGGCATACACAAAAGCAAAGCAGACCCTCTCCCAAGGAACTACCACATCAACAGAGCTAGGAAATAGAGCACTGCAAAGATACCATCTCTGATGTGAGCCACCTTCCCCAGCTTGGTGAGCTCCGGATCTTATATTACAGTTCCCATCATGCTTATGATGGGTGTTGTAGAACAATGCATGGGGGCATAGTCCAGATGGCCTCTCACGTATGTTTAAGGGTGTTTTGACAAGTTAAGGAACTTCTTTAGTCTGGAGATTTTTTAAAATGTAGAATAGAAAGCAGAGGCCTGGATTTTTTAAAAAAAATATCAAGATACTGTGCATTAAGTGTACATTTTAGACTGAAGCTACAGTTATCAGTAAACAGGATCAGATGAAAATGAAGGAGAATTAAGGAGGAGCAAAAGAGGAAACAGATTTAAGCAGCAGTGGAGGCGGAGGCAAAGTGAGTCTACGTACTGGATGACCACTAATTACAAGAGAAAAACTGTAACGGTGCAGAACAAGGACACACCTCGAGAGGGTGGATTGGGCAACCGCAAGTGACCAAGGAAGGATTGAGACACACACAGCTGTGCAGCTACCAGGAGATTATACTTCCTCAAAGAATCAGCAATTGTACACGACTTTTGCAAGTCATTTCAGTGGAGGAAACAGCTGTGGTAGATAACTGGGGAGCAGGGTGTCCATTCCTCCCTTTAGTCCTAAATGCCATGACAGGAAAAGGTAGCTCTGGAGGGTTAATTGCACCTTATGAAACAAATAATGATGCAATTCTAGGCATGTTAAGACAGAAGAAGCTGCCCAATCATAGGATTGCTGGATAATGGAATAATAAAGAGCAGAGGTGAGGGAATAAGGGAGAGAAATGGGAGGACTGAGTCTAATATTTAAACCATCTGGTGTTACAGTTTCCTCGAGTAGCTGATAGACTTTAAGAAGGGAAAAGACACTTGTTTAAAAGGATTGAAATCCAGTGTCCATTTTTAGGATGTTCCAAATAAAGAGGAGGTGGGGGAACCCTTCAGAATAAAGCCATAGAAAGTTTTATCTGTTTTTGTACACCAACACACACCTCAAAATAATTTCTGCTGGTACATTCCCCATCCTCACATAGGCAGCTTTCTAACACAATGTCACACCAGTGGGACCCCCTGTGTCCACAGCAGTTGCTGCACCCCAACTTAATATCCTGTGCTGGCTTTCATCTCTCCTCAGCCCCCCAACTCATGTGACCCGAAGCCAGAAGCCTGCTTGCCAGCCTCTTCTCCCTGCTCCCCGTTACCGTCCTTTCTTCCCTGATTTCCCCACATACCGTGGGTGTAGCAGGGGCTCTGGCAGGACACGACAGCTCCGGAGGGCTCTGGGTGACTGGCAGAGGCTAAGCCAGCGAGAACGCTATAAAAAGGGGGGACTTGTGGGCGGGAGGGGCTGTGCTAACCTTCTCGCCGACCCCTGGCCTTTTGCAGGGCAGGCTAAATATAGGCCTCGAGTCTAGGAATGTGAAAGATGAGGCTCTTGACATTCCCTGCAGAGCAAGGAACAGCTAGAATCACGGGGCAAGGGCCTGGGAGACCTGTGGGTCACCCTTTCCCCAGGGTGGCTGCCTTCCAGCCCACAGCCCCCCGCAGCCACCACCACATACACGCTCTCTCCCTCTGCCTCCCAGAACACCCATTTTTGATGCGGATCTGCTCCAGCCCTAGGTCTGTGGCTCAGACTATACCGATACTTCCAGGTTACCTGTGCGACTCAATGCACATGCTATCCACCCTTTCCCCATGCCCCATATAAGGCTAAGTGAGAAAATTTCCATCTCCAAGCTCCATCTTGTAGGATGTCTCTCAACTGCTCCCCCCCCCCAATTAAAGCCTCCATTTGAATTCAATTCTGCCCCAGCCCAGAACCTCGTCTCCCACTGCCACCTGCTGTACCCCCAGGGAATTGCAACTCCACAACCAAGACATTCTGGTTGGAAAAGTCAGATTGTGAAATTCTCTCTCTCTCTCTCTCTCTCTCTCTGTGGGGGAGGTAAATGAATGATATTGATGGACTCAGCTCCACAAGGAACAGGTTCTCACTCTTTATGTCAGGGGGGTCGTGGTAAGCAGGCTTGCTACAGTGAAATATATAAACATGCCGTGCTCCCAACCTAGACCACAAATCACAGCTAATGCTGATTAGAATTGGGAAGCCTTTCATACACTCTTTCACTCTCTCTCTCTCTCTCTCTCTCTCTCACACACACACACACACACCACGATTATTCTTTTTAAGGAGGAACGAGCTGCATCAATCATAAAGATGCCGTGTCCTTTCTAGCAGGCATCTCACTCCCACAAGGTGGACAAGCGCACATCTTTCCATTCATTAGATGAAAACAGGCAGTCTCACATTACATAATATAAGCTGTGCCTCAGGATGAGGCACAAGCAAGCGTCCACAGGAACAAGATGTTTCCTTGCAAGAGGATGAAATTATACCCTGCAAAATTTTTGGAAACTGCAACCCACTCGTGTTGCAATGGCTGAAAGAGGTGGGTGTGTTTAGTCTGGAGTAGATGAGATTAAGGGAGGACACAACAGCCACCTTCAGATATATGGAGGACTGTCACATTTTTAAAAATTAGAACAGCTTTGTTTGCTGTTGTTGCAGAAGGCAGGACTAGAAACACGGCTGGACACGCCAGCAAGTGGACTTTAGTGAACAACCGAGAGAAACTGCCTAACAGTAAGAGCAGTCTGAGAGCAACAGAATTCCTTGGGAAGTGGATGGCTTCTTTTTGCTAGAGGTACTTAAGGAAAGCTGGGCAGGATGCAGTGCACTGTTGAACCTACTGAGCCAGAGGGCTGGAATTGAAAACCTCCAAGGTCCCTTTAAACTCCAGTTCTGAGTCTAGGACTATCACATATAAAGTAAATGTTGTGTTTAGAGATCTATAGACATGCTAATTCGGATGCACACAGAATTTTGAAAACATAACATGGCTATCCAAATTATATATTAAAACTTGTCCACCATCTTCCAAAAATTGTCCACCTTTGCACCGATGCCTCTTCCTGAAATTCTGAATATCCCACAGATGTTGGTACCAAAAAGGAAAACCTGGGATTTATCGAAAATGGTATTAAGCAGGGTGATGAGCTCCAATAAATCCGGAGGAAAAGGTACCGTACCTGCTTAGCTGGCACTGTTGGTATGCATGGACAATCAAACCGAGATCCTCACAAAATGCAAGGTCATGGATGAAATGAGACCAGCAGGTGGGAGACCAAGATGCCCCAAACAGCACATGAGATTTTGCTGCAGTCTTCTCCTGCCTACAGTAATAGGCTGTGAGCCAGTTCGCCATGGCAACATCCAAGGCCTGGCTCGTGATGCAGGTTACCACAGCAACACTGCCACTCTTTTCCTATATTCTCCCTCCAGCTAGTCCCTCCCCAGAAGGAGTAAATATCAGCAAGGAATAATCAGCAGGAAACTTTAATTAACAAGGCGGTTTGGAACAGACAATAAATGGTGCAGGGTTCCTATAGGAGGGAGGGGCAAGGAATTTTCGTCATCCCATCAAAGCCAAGCGCTTCTCCTGCCCCCATGCGAGCAAGGTCAACTGGGGGGAAATACACATGGGAAAGGGGTCACAGGATGCAGAGTAGCAAGATCTGGGAGCACAGTATTGAAGTCAAAAGCCACACAGGGCCAACAGACTGATATTCTTAGGGTCAGAGTTTATAGGGTCAACTATCACAGCATTTAAGAACAGTGAGTCAAGGAGTTCAAGGTGGTAGAAGAGGTCCATATCCAAGGTTTTGAAAATATCAGTGAACTGGATGATCAATAACTCCCAAATGGGCAGGTCAAAATTCAAGGCTCGTGTCAGGAAGTACAATGTTCAAGAAGCTCTCAGGTGTGGGTCAGAGTTCGGGGTCATGGCTGCTTCAGGGAAGGTCAAAGTTCAAAGGTTACATCAAATGCTCAGCTGGTTTCTTCAGAGTCCAGGACCTTGACGTGGGTGAAGGGGAAATGACCACAGCGCCCATTCAGCTCCCCTTCCCATTGGCCATTGACGTTCATCTTGGTGACAGCAATGAGGTCACCCACCTGTGGAGCATCATGGGACACAAAAGGATTCAGAAAGGAAAAGATTACAGGCTTATTTTTTTATCCGTTCACTCTTGAGCAGCCAATCTCCCTTCGCCCATACACTCCCTTCCTCTGGAAAAAGAAAAAAGCCACCCAACCTGCTGCAGCTTCTCATCTTACCTTAACTGAGGGACAGTTTCAAGACCTGTGTGTCCAAAATTTTCCTACCCAAGAAAGTATCAAGCAGTAGGATGTCAGGGACGGAGAATTCAAGCACCAATGACTTTTAAAACATTCCACAGAAGAGCTGGATATTGAAAGGGATCTTGTGGAAATATATACAGGTTTCTCTACCCTCCCCTACACACCCCAAAAGCCTAAACTCTTCAAGTACTGTGCATTTCCCCCCTTCCCCTCCACCACTCAGCATTTTACTAGACAAGCCTCCAAATGGAGTTATGCTACCTATGTATTTTATTCTAATTAATTTGCACGACTTATTCTCATGATCACAGGATGTCAGCTTGGAGCTGTGCTCACCGAAGTATCTTCATGAGACAAAGGGCATTGCCAAGTACCGATCTGCCGCATCCTTCCCCAATCAACTGCCCTTCAACTGTGTTGGACTGTAACTACAGCAGCCATCCTGGCTGGGAATAATGGGGCTTGCAGTCCAGCACATCTGGAGGCCACTAGGCTGGTAAAGGCTGCGGTAGATTCACCGCCATTGAGCATCCTTCTGTCCCACAACCACGCAGGATGCCGGGAGATCGGTTCACTTCCTGCACCCTCCCACAGTGAGTATTTCCCCGCAACTTGCCTCAAAGGCTAGTGCCGTCTTGTCACTGGCACCGGGCACCCTTCGCTGCACCGCTCTTGCTATGACCGGAGCGTGGCGGGGGGCGCCATGGCTGCTGGGGTGAGCATAGGGGCAGGGCTGGACGTAGGGCACCGGGATCATGCCCACGCGCCCGTCTGCGCGCTGGGCGGTCCACCACTGCTCCTCGGGCTTGGCCAGCACCCTCAGTGGCTCCCCTTTGCTGAAGGGCAGGTCTTCCTGATCTCGGCCTACAAAGTCGTAGAGGGCACGGACCCATTCGCCAGCCGGCGGAGGCTGGGCAGAGGCAGGCGCAGGGGCTACCACGCGGCCCACAGGGGCAACCAGAGTGGTAGTATCCAGGTAGTGGAGGCGGTAGAAATCCAGCAGGGCAGGGAAGCCATCGAACTCGTGCTCTCCGATCCGCAGATGCCCGGGGAGGGTGTTGATGATGTAGTGAGAAACCTGGGAGAGAGAGAAGAGCGAGGGAACTCGTGGAGATCACACCATGACCCGAAGAGAGGCAAATCCAACATCCCAACTCAGCGGTGCGATCAGGCCTCCACCCCGACAGGTTCTTCAGTCCCCCCAATCCAGCCCCTTTATCCACACAGTTTTTTCTCTTACAAAGCCACTGACGTTCGGAGCTCACCTTGGAGTTCTCGCTGACGGAGAGTACATAGTCGCCAGGGCACGTGGTACTGTCCCGTACTAGAAAGGTTCCATGGCGGTGGCCCTGGAGACAAGCAGCTGCTTCTTGCCGGCTCAGGGCCCCCATGTACCACTCATGGGCATCCCCAAAAGCCGACATGGCTTGTGGGAACATCAGATGGTGGAAGAATCCACCCCCCCTTACCGAAGATTATTCCCAAAAAAAATGAAACAATTGCCCTAGAGTTTGAGAGCACCTTGATAAAAGGAAGTTATCCTACTGAATGTTGTAGTGGCAGTCCTGTTTAGTAGCTATTGCTTCCTTCAAATTAGACTGTGACCTTCAAAGTGGCCAGACATGTCCCCCACTGCCAGAAATGAGGAAGGTTCTTCCTTATGTAGATTCACCACAATATCTTTACATCCCCAAATCATCCAGCTGTGTTTCCCTTGAGTTATCCCTTGCGCCCCCAAAACAGCAGTATATATAATAAAGAAGTCTCTGAAGAATGCAATTAATGTTTCTGTAATCTGCAACTTAATGCTTACAGTTGATCAGCTATATGCTACAGAGTTATGCAAATCCCTTGTAGTTCCAATACAATGAGGGTACACTTCCAAGAATTACAGATCACCTTTCCCTGAATAATCTATTTACTAAAAGTTTAATAGCTACTTAAACACAGATTCTAACAAAGAACATGAACATACAATATCATAGAATCAGTGGAATATATCTTCAGGGAAATATATAGCTCTAAGAAATCTAGTATCAGAAAGTTCCTATGAAGTAAGAGGGTACATTTAATGAATTAAATAGCCCACATAAATGCTGCCCCCCCCACACCAGCATCTAACAAGTCACATATGACTGCCCTCCCTCAAATTTGTACTTGCCCCACAGAGTAATCAGCACCTCCAAAATGTATTAGGACCCTGTACCTCTAAAGGGTGAGCTAACCTTTTTCATAACCTAATCTTTATCAAATTAGCATGCCATGTCCCCACAAAATGAATAGGACACCCTTTCTACGGAAATATGACCCACCATACCAATAAAATAAAATAAAATAAAATCATATGCTGACATAGGATCTTTAACCTAGAAAATGAATCGCGGGGATCTTGATCTGATTGACTCAGTCCCTCCCTCCAACGAACTGACCAAAATTACACACCCCCAGTTAGAGACTACTTTTGAAATACTAGACAAGATTATGCCCCAACACCCCTCCCTCAACACAAGACTTGGCCATCTACCCAACGAGCCTCAGTGCTGCAAAGTCACACACACACACACACACACGAAGTAGTTAACCTTCCAAAACTGGGCAGCACCCCAAAATGTCTATCCTATTCTCCCAAGCCGTTCTGCTTACCACCCTAGGAGGGTTTCTATGCATGCAAAGCCCCCGCCATAAGGCAGCCCCTCTGCTCCATCACAGTTCCATGCATGCCCTCTATTCCTGTCCAGCATTCCTTTAGAAGGAGCCCCCCAATACTGCATTGCAGCTCCTTTAAACTCCGCAAAACCACCTGTAAAAGCCTTTCTTCCCCTCAAAACACCCCCCAAATCAGCTGTGCACCCTACAAATGCTCTTCAGCATGCCACTCTGCATTAGCGCCACAATAAAGCCCCGTCTCCCTCGCTTGCACATGTCTTCCCGCTATGCCTCCTCTTCTCCTTGGGAACTCAACAGACCTAGTTTCCCGCTCCCCCTGCTGCAGCCTAGTACAGCCCCACTCCCTCCGCAGGGGACCCAGGCATCCTAGCTCCTGCTTCCCCGGCTCTAACCCATTAGAACCCAGGAGTTCTGGCTAGCAGCCTCCCCCGCCCCTCCTCTGCCTTCAATCGCTGCCCGCAATCCTGATTGCAGCTGCGGAAGGGCTGATGGGAAAGTGACGCACCCCCTCCCCTTTAAGCCATTGAGGGATGGCCATCTTGAGGCTTGGCAAAGCTGGCACTGAAGCCGCCGTGAAGGGAGCGCAGCCATCATGGCCACGGGAAGGCGCCCCAGTTCCAAGATGGAGATGGCTTGCAGGCTCGCTGCATGTGGCTGCAAGAGACACGATTATGGTTTTATGGCGGTGAATTCAGCTGCATTACTCCTTCTTTTGCTGTTAGCTGGATTGTCATTAAGTTAGGCAAAAGAGAAGGCGATGATCGTCTAATTAGCAACCGGAGAATGAGATTAACAGATGCTTGGCAGCATATTCAGAGGGGCACATATTTTGAACCTAGCATTAGAGGACTGGGTTATTTACGAATGCTCTTCCACAGAACAGGACCACCGCTTCTTATTTGCCTGTACTAATATATTAACCCACTTAGTCTTGTTTATAACTTTATTGATCCAAGGTTCAGACATCCTCTATTAGCATCACTATTTCATTAGCAACTTCCCGTCATCAAGACTGACAACTAAAGATAGATATGAAAAGCAGAGTGCCAGCATGATATTCTTCATTGGCTTGTTGTTTCTAAAATACAAGCCAAAACTTATTAGAGGCTAAGTGCAGTCCAATTTTATTCCATACTAGCCATTCATCATAATATAAGTGCAAAACTACAAACCATAAAGTGACTTAGGACAAAAATAATCTTACGAACCATTACAACATCCATGTGGTAAGGAAAGCACCTTTTATTTGTCATTAAAGTTTCAGAAGCTGAGAGAGAGAAAATTTAACTGCTACTTTGTGTTGTTGCTTTGCAGTTTGAGACCCACTTGAGCAAAGAAGTTAATCTCTTAATTGAATCTCTAGCTAAAACCCATATAAGCTACCCAACATGGTTCAGTGTTAGATCTGTAACATTATTTAGAAAGATGTGTAGTAAATTAGAAAGATATGCAAACAGACCTCCATGTCTTAACTATTAATTACAACATTTGTCAAGTTTTTTAAGGCATATATTTCATGCCTGTCTGGCCCCAGTTGCAATTCGTCAAATAAAACTAAAATCATGACTATAGAAGAATTATAGAACTTTAATGTCAACAATGAAGAAATTGAACCTGTGGAAGATGTTGTATACCATGGCTCAATCTTCATGTCAAAGGGAGATTGCAGCCAAGAAATGAGAAGACTGAGTCTTAGAAGGGCAGCAATAAAGGAAATAGAAAAGATAAACAAATACTAAGGATGTTTCTCTGAATACCAGGCCAAGATCATCCACAGTATTGGTATGAAAGCTGGACTATAAAGCAAGCCCACACAAAGAAAATTAATGAATTTGAAACATGGTGCCAGAGGAGAGCTTTCCGAATAGAAAGACAAGCAATGAGTCCTAGAGCAAATCGAGCTACAACTTGCCCTAGAAGCAAACAGGATGAAACTGAAGCTGTCATACTTTGGGCACATCGTGAAAAGGAAAGACTCAATGGGAAAGGTAATCGTATCAGGCAGACCAAATGTAAGATCGCTCGAGTGTATCAAGAACCACAGGCTTGCTTTTCCAAGAGCTGAACAGGGATATCAAGGAGTGGACATTTTGGAGGGCACTCATGCATGGGGTTGCCGTAAGTCAGAGGCAACATGTAATGACAGTAAAAACTAGTGCCAGGTACACTGGGAAGTGCCCCTATGAAGGTGGTGTAATGTTCTTTTCTTGTGCTTAAGCCATCCAGAGGCTTTGCCCAAGGACGAATGTTTAGATACTGTAGCTCTGTCACAGCAGAATTCCTACAATCCAGCTAGCAGAGGCTCCCTAGTGATCCTATTCCCAACTGGTCCCCAGCTTCTTCACATTTGCAGGTGTACGTAGCCTCTTTATGTGTGGGTTTGCCCACTGCTGTCAATTCCCTGTCCTGTGGAACATACGGGTCCTTTTTTAAACACATGCGTAAGTGCACAGAGGGAACAGTCCTGTTTTGCCCCATCGTTGCTGCTTCTGCCTGCCGTCTCGGAGAGCATGTTGCAGTTGTAAGCACGTCAGCGGTGCTCCCTAGGTTCTCTGTACAAGGAAAGCTCAGAGTTCTCCAATGAGGTTACTTTAGTGTGCTGCTGAACAGCTCAGGTCTTGGCAGAAGGCAGGTGATATGAACAAGCAAACTCAGGACTGGCATTAACTTTTGAAGATAGGTACCAAACAGATCCAGACAGCGTTCATTACAGATGGGCAACTGATGTGGTGTGAAGACCCAGCTTCAAACCCCTTCTGAGCGGTGAAGCTCAGTGTGACATGGGCCCATCTGTCTCTTAGCCTGATCTCCCTCCGAACCTTCTGGAGAAACAAAAGTGAGCTGAAAGATAGTAAAATAACCTAGATACAAATAATCTCATTTTCCCCTTAAGCAATAGCTAGTTAAAATCACTGTACTATCTGTACAGACAGGTGAATATAACTTTCTACATATACTTGCTGCCTTGTCTTCTATAAATAAGGAATTAATTTCATGTCCTGGAGAAGACAGTAGTTTCAGGCATGTTAGTGCTGAGTTATAATGTGGTCATCAGTTATATCAGTCTTGCAAATAGCTCTCAGTGTGATCACCTGTGCTGATAGAATCTCCTCCAGCCAGGTAACTGGGGAAGAAAGCTTTTGTTCATTGGAAGCTAGTGGAGTGAAATTAAAAAAGAATAAAAGCTGCTTGCACTAACACCATTCTGTCACCAGCCCCAAATGCTGAACACCTGATTACGCTAAACAAGAGTGAATGAATACCCATGAATACCTAAAATATTCTATAAATTTGATAACCTAATTCTCCATTGGGCAAATGTCTATTAAATGCCCTCCTTTTGCTTTCTTGTTAAAGACAGACATAGGATGTATACAACTTGCTTTATTATAAAATGCAACAGTTCTTATAAAAACAGTAATATCAAACAGGCATTTAAAAAAGCATTTCAAAAAGATAACAAAAAGTTAACAGAAAAGGAAAAGCAAATTTTCAAGTCTCCTTGCATCAGGATACTTCATTTTTGCCAATCTGGGAAGGACCCATTTTATCAGCCCACTGTTTGTATGAAGACTCCTAAATCTTCCCACATTCCCAAATCCTAACTCTACTATTTTGAGGGCTGAGGTCCCTTAACGCAATTTGATCTCAAAGCAAATGCAGTTGATGTTCTGACAGTCTGGGGGCTGATAGGTGCAGGCACAATCACAGAGTGGACACAAGTGAGGAAAGGAGCAGGTCCCTGGTCCCCAGACCTGTTGATAAAAGAAATCATACACCGTTAACCCGCAGAACCATCTGCATCGCCAGATTAATATTCCCTCTCTACCACCACCACTTATTTCCAGTCTGATCCAATATGCCTTTCCCTCTTCTTCCAAGTAAACAGCAATCCTCTGGCCTTTGGACAGTGTCTGAAGGGCTACAGGATATTCTGAATTCTGAACTGTGACATCAGAGACAGCATTCTGACTTTGAAGCTGGGAATCAGCACTCTAGTCCCACTTCCTCCTTGCAGCTGGCATGAAAAGAACTGTGCCAACTTGCCTCTCCAAGGTTGGCAACACAACTTCAGAGAAGGGGGAAAGGAACCTGGAGAGGCCAGGATATGAGCTACCCTGATGCCTGTACAGCTTCTTTCCATTCCCCTCCAACACGCCCCAGTCAGAGGATCAAAAAAGCTACTCTGAATAGTTTGCACACTTAGGGTGTTAGTAATTAACATGTACTGCTGTTTTGAAGTTTTCTTTGCCTAAAGCTATTCAGGTGGCTTGTTATCTGTCAAGCCAGACTTGATACAGGCAGTTGCACAATTTACAGCCTTTATTACTCATGCAGGTAGAATTAGTTTCACATGAAGAAAAAATGTACTCCAGAGTTTTTGCATTTAAGAAAGCAGACACTCCTCATCTAAAAAGTCCATTAAAAAGTGTTTGCTATCAAGCCCAGAATTTGAGCATAGCTTCTCAATCAGTTACTCTCACATGTCCCACCACACTCACACCGGTAAACAGGAGGAATGCCACCCGTTTCAATGTACAATACCCTGCAGAGGTATGCATGTTTAGGCAGAACTCCTACTGAGTTCATTTATGGTTCACTCCTAGAAAAGTGTGCACAGGATTGTAGCTTTAATTGACTCATCAGTTCAAACTCATTATCTGACAAATTGATTAAAGTTTGCCTATGGGGAAAAAAAACAATAGCTTTGAAGACAAAAACAGCATTATTTCTTGGCTTCTGAATGAAGTCTGCATCTATTGCAGCAGGCATCTTCTTAGAAATGGCATTCTCTTCTGTGCATGAGAAAAGGAAGAGTGCCTCACCCAAGAAGATGGCTGCTACCTGGAAGTTTCTAATATTAACAAATAGTTGGCAACTTAGAAACAAAACATACTGGGAGCATCTTTTTGATTGATCAAAATCTTTTAAACTGATGATTCAACTCAACATTGCTGCTGCTGCAAATAGCCATAGAAATACACAACTCCTGATTTTTTCCATAGCCAATAATTATGTTGGCTATTCTGGTCTTCATGGGACGTGGGTGGCACAGCGAGTTAAACCGTTGAGCCACTGGGCTGTTGATCTGCAGGTCAGCAGTTCGAATCTGGTCATGGAGCGAGTGCCTGCTGCTTTGTCCCAGATCCTGCCTACCTAGCAATTCAAAAGCATGCAAATGCAAGTAGATAAATTGGTACCATTTCGGTGCAAAGGTAACAGCATTCCATGCACCTTGGTGTCTAGTCGTGCCAGCCACACGACCATGGAAGCATCTTCAGACAATGTTGGCTTTTTGGCTTACAAATGGAGATAAGCACCAGCCCCAGAGTCTGACACAACTAGCACACATGTGCAGGGGAACCTTTACCTTTAATTCTGTTCTTTATTCAGAAGTTGAAGGGACAGAAATACAGTTTACTGGACAACCTATTCCCTTCATAAATGGTCAGGGTCTACAGTGTAGCTGATGCCACCTAGTATAGGATAAAATATAATTATCACTAATCCCAGGCCTAATCCATCCCAAAGGCTTTCAGTAAGCCATCACTGCTCTGGAAAGTTAACATCCTGTTCTGTCCTGAACATCTCTCTCTGTTTCCTTAGTGCAAAGTAACGGAGCTGTGCCCTCTCATAAAAAGACTGATTTCCCCCAATATCTAAGACAGATGAAGCCTAGCCATTACCACTCTCTAAGTTTTTATCACCTGGAAGCCTTTTGCATGAGGCTTCAGTGAGGCCCATTGACTTTGTGGAATACAAGTGATTGCCTTTTTTCATCAGTCAGTTACCTTGAAAAAGAACATAAGCTGAAAAAACTTACATTAGTGCAGGGACAGCAGTGATCCATACAGTGGGCTCGGGAAGGAAGGGCACAGTCACATGATTCTGCGCAACCCATACAGCATTCACACACACTTGGCCAGGACTGCTTTTCGCAGGAACAACAATTGGCACAAAGGCCTCGGGCCTGGGTAGCAATAAGGAAAGAAATACACAGCTTGACCCACCAGATATCCAAGCAAAGACGCAATCTCACCTACACTGTTTTTCATTGCTCTAGGTGCCTCCAGTTTATTTCTTAGATTTATATATTGCAAGTAACCCAAAACTGGGTGGCCAGACAACAATTCTGAATTTGTAATTTTGTGTCATTTTTGCTTTTTAAGTAATCCAGATTGCTAAATCAGCAATAATGCATGGTGGGAAATGCAGTTTGGGGAAAAGCCAAGCCTACCGTGGAAAACTGAGATTAATCTTTATATTTCTTACCATCAACTTTTGGGACTGTCCAGTAACACTGGCAACTAGCGCCAGAACCACAGCTTAGTGATACATGTTCACCTTCCCTTTTTGCTTGCTCCCTAACAGACTACTGTTCGCATGATGCACTGTGGTGCATGGTAAATGCTGTTACTTTAATGTAATATGGGAACCATAGATCTAACGTCTTTTATCAGCCACCTCTAAACCTCCAAATATTTTGCTGTCTCCATCCCATCTTCCAGTTACCAGCAGGCACTGTCGGAGGACCAGGACCAGGACGAGGAGCAGCAGGTAGGAACCGACAACCAAGAAAACGATGGCAGGGAGGGGCAGGAACAAGGTGGCAGCAAAAGGGAGGTCTGGAGGAGGGCTCAGCGATGGAGTCTGTAGGGTGAAGAAGGGAAGCTGACAGTACAGAGTGGTGAGGAGCAGGAAGGAAGATAAAAGGTGTAACACGGATGAGCACTGCAGTTCAATTTGTGACTTCATGCCAAATATCAACTAAATATCAGAGAACCAGCAAAGACAAAGTTTCAGTTCTGACTAGATGTCTATCCACCAAATAGGTTGCTTCTCTGACATTCAATATATGTTTGGAAGTCAGATGAGCTCCCTTCCCTTAACTGCAATTGTACCTACTGCACAACAAGTTGATTTCATGCTAACTTTGGCTATCTCTGGGTCATAGAGAATCAATTACTCAGAATACTGATATGATTCCATAGTAACTATAAAACCACCCAAGGAGCCTTTGAGCTGATGAGCAGTATAAAAATATAATAAATACAATTCCAAATTTAGATTTGAAAGCCTGGCTTCTAAACCAGTCTCAGCCAATTCATAAGTAAATATATTAATTCCCATGGCCAGCTGGGAGGGAAGTGAAGGGCAGCCTGAAAGAATACAAATGTTAGGTTGGTGCTTTACTTACTGACATTCCTCAGCTGGGGAGGGACTAGGCTTCAGCCCCTAGAGGGTCCATGGATATCAAAGAGCCTTAAGGAAAAGAGAAAACATTTCAAGCTACTACTGGCCTGGACTTGTTTTCTTCCCACTATTAATGCACCAGACTCTAACCCACAAATGCAGTCTCTTAGAATAGACCAAGAGTGGTCAGGGATTACCACACAACAAAACCAAACTTCCTTTTTCCAGCAAGCCTTCATAAGCATTCATTCCAAGCACAGATTTCAAGAAATTCTGTCAATCCTCTCAAGGTTGGTCAAAGAGCAAGGCTCCAAAGCTATTAAGTGATCATATATACTAAGATACTTATTTGTCTACATGCACTTCATTCATCCATATTAGTACCTAATCTGATAGAATATTTGCAGCCCAAATTCAAATTTAGGAGTCACTTGGATAAACCAGTTAATTAACATTCTTGTAATCTGCCCAGAGAGCTTAGGCTATGGGGTGATATAGTAATGAAATAAACAACACCAATATGTTTTATGTAGGAGACAAAAAAGCTCAATACTTGTTCCATTTCACAATTTCTCTGCAAAATCCTCTCCCCACACTACACTCCTGTTCATGAAAAATTTCCTTTTTCCATAAATAGATAAAAAAGTATGCCTGAAATAGGCCTTCCTCTATCATTTTAATACGATTCCAAGACTATCATATACCGTTGTTAATATTAATCATTCAGTGTCCAGCTTTATTAATATTACTCAGAGTGGGAAATCTTCACTCCCAAATTTCAGAGGATGACAAAGCCCATCTCCACCTATGTCCCAGCTTTCTGAACATTAATATATCAGATACAGTTCTTAGGCTCTAAAGCCCACGCAGTCAAAGAGCTTACTGAGTTGCCTTGGGGACGGGTCACTATCAGCCTAGCTTACAGGATAAATTGGGGGTGGGGAAGGAGAAGGCTGTACGAGTCTGAGTTTCTTGAGAAAAGCGGCACATAAAAATAAATAAATAAAGCGGCGCTGTTGCCTTGGGAACCAGACCTCAAAAAAAAAAAATCTACGGGTGCTCGTTACGACCAAAGTTCATCAAGCTCTTGTGTCAGGCCCGAGGAAGTGATGCACGAAAGCAGGACCGCTACCGGAAGTGCTTCCCATGACACCAAGCGGTGCAGCATGCTTGGAGTCCTGCCGCATCGTGTTCTCGCTATTAACTTTCCCCCGGAAATGCAGCGCTTGCACCAGAAGTGACATCATGGAAAGAAACGGTCTTTTCCATCCATATAGTAAAGGAGGGGGGAAACAACCTCAATGTAGACTGAGAATTCTGAGTTACTCTCACCTGCAGTAATCCCCCATATCAGGATACAATATGCTTCCCAGTATAAAGCTGCATAATCACTATCAGGCCTTTACTTCGTCTTCGGTTCAACCCGAAATGCCCTGGGAATCTCTCATGATGGAACCATTCTTCCGGCTGAGGCAAGCCCACCCCGCAAAATGGGACGGTTCTGTAGAAACGCCTCGGCTCATTGTAGCAACCAATCAGAGGCTGAGGAGTGAAGGGTCATGAAATGCAGTGTGAAACAGGAAGCCATGTGTATGAAAAGTTCGTTAGGCCGGTAGTGCACACGCAACGCATGCGCAGATCACTCGCTTCGTCCTAAATTCTTTGTCTTGGCTATGCTGTGCCCAAGACCCTTCCAGCGCATGCGCACCAGAGCCTGGAATGAAGATCACAGCACTTTCTAAGATTCACCCGTGGACACGGACTTCTGAGTTTATTTTCAGCCCCAGATTTTAAAACGTTTTAAATTGCCAGAACCTTCCTGGACCCTGCGAATCTAAAGAGCATCAGAGTTTTGTATGTAATAACGAGCTGGACTCGAGCTGAGAATAGGCGGAGAGGGGAAGGGGAGGTTGAAGTAGTTTAAACAGACTGACAATTGCTGCCATCGGAGAGGTGTTCTGCATGGAAGGTTCGGCCTAAAAATCCAAACCAGTCTTAGCCACATTTATAATCAATCCACAGTGTTAAAAGCTGGACTGAATTCCAGGGCTATTGTGACCCCCACCCCCGTCGAAACTGCAAAGGGAGAAAATAGTTTAGCATTAGCAAAATAATATAGAAAGCATTTTTAAAGGAGAGGAGAATTATGTAAGCCTCCTTGAGTTCCTTGCAAGAGAGGCAAAAGTGGTATTATAATAAAATGAACCAATCAATAGACAGACTTAACACAGTTACTCAATTAAGGGAACATGAATGGTCATTCTTCACTTTTCCTATCTCTACTCTGAGGGCGTGCTGCAGTAGTAGACATGCGCAAACAGCCTCTCTTCTGTCGGGCCCGCCCCGCACTTTCACGCTCTAATGCGGACAGTTTGCCGTTGCCACGGAAACCACCAGCTCGCGCCGAGGCGGCACCAGCAGAGGGCGGGGGCTCAGCCACGTAAACGATACACAGCATTAGGCTAGTCGGGAGGAGCAAGGGGTGGGTGGGAGGAAAGCGCAGGCGGCTAATTGGCTGCCGTGCCTGGAGAGCACGGGCGTATCACTTCCTATAAGTGTGCTAATAGCCACTAGTTAATTAGATGATCTGCAATGTGGGATTGAGGCAAACACTCACATTATATTCAAAGTTACTAGGTAACGGGGGCGTGGGAAAAGGAGAAAGACGGGAAGGAAGAAAGTTGCCAATATAATTTAAATATATGCAACTCTGCGCACGAAATCATCCAAATAATCTATTTAGCTTAATGAACCCTCATTAGCTATTTAGATTACTCATTCTTAGTTTGGGGAAAATATATTCTAAATTATGTCCATTTTTGGTAATATTAGAACAATTAACTTATATTTGAGTTCCTATTCAAACTTCCTTAATCCTTTTCACACTTAACTTTATGATCATTGCTAATTGGCTACTAGTTTTTTAAAAGTCACTATTTGGAAACCCTAATTAGTTTGTTTGAAATTTGCAGCAGAATCCTGCACATTACTCAGTAATAAGCCTCAATGAGTTCAGTGGGTTTACTCCCAAGTAACTGTATCAAATTACAGATAATACCAATTTTGGACTTACTTTAATTAAGCTGGCTAAAAAGCTACAGAATATGGCGGGTGCCCCTGGAAGAGTTCTTAGTCCAATCCTAGTGTTTAATTTGCTCTTAAAAACAAAGCATTTGAGTAGCTGTTAGGGATCATGCTTTATACTGCTTTGTGTCTTACCTAAATAGGCAAGGAGGGACTGATTGTTGGGCCCCTAGACAGCAACCAACCAGCTATGGGATTCAAGGCCAGAGGCTGCACTCTGGAGGTCAGAACTGTGAATCCCCCCCCAGCCCCACTGCTGTTTTCTGAGTCTGAGGGGAGATGTTTTGTGGGGCAGGGAGGGGAGGAGATAGGATAGCAGGTATTCTAAGGTCATTCCAGCTTCCTTCCTTCCTTCCCCTGCCACAAATCAACAGCAACACAAATCAAAAGCCCATCTAGCAAAATTGCAGAGTGACAGGACAGGGAGGTGAAGATAACATCCATTGTCTTTCTACTCTCACTGAATGCCCATAAGCTTTTGGGAACCTAGGAGCATCTGGACAGGACTGCATGCTGAAGCATTATCATTAATTATTGCCTTTTAAGTTGGGGTGGACAACATGTCGCCCTCCAGAAGTTTTGGCCTATGACTTTCATACTCTCACTGTTGGCTCTTCTGGCTAGTGGGACTTACAGGCGAAAACCTCTGGAGAGCTACAAGTTTTCCAGCACTGATTTAAATTCACAGGTGAATAAACTGTCACAATCCAATACAGAATTAAGAGCGCAAGATCCTCAATAGTAAATAGTTTGACAAACTATTTTGTTAACAAACTAACACAAGTTTTATTTTCTTAACTTGCACTCAGTGTAATTGAATTGCTGCTAAGTCTATGTTAAATGTGTTAATAACTAATACTAGTTACTTAACCAGTAGCTTAGTGTAATCTCAACTGGTTAGATTTAAATTTGTTTTTATGGTTTTCCTGTCTCTCTTCCTTTCTATAAGTGTTGTAAGACACTTTGGGGATTCCTGTTGAAAAGCAGATGGAACTCCACTTAATAAATTGATCAATATTTAAACATGGTTTAACACCCTGATGCACTATAGAAGCAATATATCAAAGACATAATCAAGGAAGGTACTTTATATACCTCCAGGGACTAAAGGTTCTCTGACCATCAGCCCTTTTTGCCATGCCAGAAACCACTTTCAGAACTTCCCACCAGGGGACTGTTGTTCAAGAAACTTCATCCTTCTGGGGGCTCAGAATTGGCTGTATGTTGCCATGGAATACTTGCTAGGCCTCAGTTCCGAGGTGCTCTTTTACTGTGAATACTGTTCAAGAGCTGTAGTATGAACTGATGCAGTGCTTTTGCACCTGATTTCTTTGTAGTTCATATTACAAAGGAATATTGTAGTTCCTAATCTTTCTGGTCCACTGAAGCCAGCTGGATCTTACCATCGGCCCACAGCAGAGAGTGAGCAACAATATTTGGAAAGGAAGGTACACCCCCCCCCCCCCGCGCCTTGGTCGGCACTTCCTGTTGCTCTGGTACAAGGATCCCCGACCCAAATAATTGTGTATTTTATTCTATGTTGTGAGCCACCCCGAGGCTTCGGCAAGGCATAGAAATGTTTTAATAAATAAAAAATAATAATATCAGAAAGCCACCATTCAAGATGCAAATGGAAATGCAGAGGAAAGAACTAGCTGTATCATTTGAAAAAATGGCCAGTAGTGGCTTACAGTTCAGCACTGAAAGTCTGGGCTGTGTGTTTCTCTAGACTTTCTTACCTCTTTGCTTACATAATGATAAAAGTGAGATCTCCCAAATGCAGCCTGGCAACCATATTCTGAAATAGGGCATAAATAGTGTGTGAATTTAAGAATAGTCAATAGATTCAAGAATGTGACAAAATTTAGCTAACTTCTAACCCCATATATTACTATTTATATTAATATTGACATGGACTCCCCCCCACCAAACACGTTTGTTCCATTATTTTCAGTAGGAATGATTTAAATGTGTGCTTTCAGCTACAATTTTATACACACATTGAAATCATGGGATTTACTTTTGAGTAGTAGTGTACAGAATTGCTCTTCAAGCATCCTGTCGAAATTGATGGGTTTTAAGAATCTATAACTTTGGAAGGATTACATTGTTTCTTTAAAAACAGCAACTTAATTATTTCACATTTTCATGGAGTTTATTACATTTTATATGCCTACCTTTCTGCAAGGAGCTCAGAGTGGTACATAGGCCTTCCCCCACCCCATTTATTATTACAGCAACCCTGCAAGGTAGGTTAGGCAGAAAGAAAGGCTGACCCAAGTCATTCTTACCATGGTATGGAAATCTGAGCTCCCTACTCTAGCTGGTTTCAGATACTGTGACAGCTGCTAGAGACTGCATCATTTTATTGCCTCAGACATTTCTTCTAGTCAATTAATTGCATGCTGTGATTTGATCACTTAAGTATTATTAAAGTAGAGTTCTTGTAGGTTATGAGATTTCAATTACATCTTAATTAGCCCCTTAGGGAAAGATCTCTTGTCAACATGAAATACCCTCCATAGAGGAGGACACTCAGGATGGCTCAGGTGTCATTTATCGCTTTGGCTGTATTCACTAGACTGGTGGAGAGACAGGTGAGTTCGTTGGTCGAGGTTTAATATGTGCAAATCATTGATTTCAGTAAAGATGAGTTATCTTAAGTGAAGCAAAGAAGACTTCTGTTTTATCCAACAGCAGATGGAGAGGAGGAGGAAAGGAAAGGGAGGGGGAACAATAGGACACTCAAAAGATTACTAGAACCTTAGTGCTGGAAAGGACTTCAAAATTTTCTTCTGCGATCCTTAGGTAATGCAGAAAATATGTGCTCCAGCATCTTTGATAGGTGATCATCCAACCTTTGCTGAAAACTTCTAACAATGAAGAGTCCACCACCTTCTATAGCATTCTTTTCTACTGTCAAACAGCTCCTTTCATCGAACACTTTTCCTATCCTTTGGAGAGGCAGAAAATAAATGCATTCCATTACTTGTATGACAAACCTTCAAATATTTGAAGATGGCTATCATATTGCCTCTTAATAAACTACTAAAGATAAGCATACCCAGCTTCAGCCTTTCCTCAGAGGGACCTCAGGCCTCACTATGTTTGTTGCCTTGCTATGGGCACATTGCAGAATAGAATGGCTAGTTCAAAGGTCTCAGAATTTAAGGGCATGATCTTATTGGCTCTCGACATCATCTGGAAGACCAGAAGTTTTTTGGATTTGGAGCATCAAGGTCCTTTGCCTTCAGTGCTCAGACTCTGAAAGCCAAGACTTGCAGTGGGTTTGGAAAGAGCTGTGCTGGCTGGGCCTTGATGGAGGCAATGGGAAGAGGAGGGGCAGGCCACAGCGTTGCATCAATTTCCCCCAGTGCCCCAGGCACCTGCTTTCTCCCTCCCTAGTAGATGGTTAAATGCTGATAAGAAGCATTTGATAAGTCACATTGGCAGTGGGAATCACTGGGCCATACCTTACACCTTGCAATAGAATTCAGAGGCTGATCAGTCTATGCAATGGGATTGTGGTTTAGGGATTCTGGATAGGCATTTTGGTCTGATCCAGCAAGGTAAAGTTCTTATTCATGTTTTAAGCAAACAGTCCTATGTAAGCAAAAACAATTTTTGATTATGTGGATTCAAAGTTTTTAATACATTTAATCAAAACCTGGACTTGCTAACCATGGACTGGTTTAGAACATTACAATCAAACTGCTTTGGTATTTCAGACCAAAGGGGCCTTCTAGTCTAGGATGCTGTTGCCTTGTAGATGCCTCTTGAAGTCATCACAGTGCAGGCTTACCGGGCATCTGATATTAGAGGGTTCTTTCCTCTGTGAGTGGTACTTCTCTTTAGCTAGCTGCTGTAGCTAAGAGCCAAAGATGGTTTTAATTGCCAAGATTTATACATAAGAAAAAAACTTAAAGAACCAGTTGAATAATTGGCTTATCTTAACCAGTGAGGTTCTCTTATACAAAAACAAGCGAACTTAGAACTGACTTATATAGCAGAAGAGAGGAAGGGGGTAAAAGGCCAATTTTGTCTAGACAAAAACTCATCTCATTAATCTCTTAATCCCCTTCCCCCCTCCCCTGCCCTGCTTTTGCAGTTTTCCCTTCTCTTTATCTTGGGTTTAGCCACCTATCCCGTCCTCTTCTGCTCGCTGCGTTGGTTCCTGCTTCACTTTGGGCAAATGGAGGTCCTCAACGCAGTCTATGTCTCTGCCAGGTGAGATGTTTCCTGAACACTTAGGTTGTCTGTGGGTGTGAATGTGAGAGAACAGGGAGAAGAGAAAGAGGTCAGATATTAAGTCGTAAAACAGGGTTTCTGGGTTCATTAGGACGGGGTGGCCAGTCATTTGCTTTTGTTCTTGTTTTACTTGAACACACCATGGTGCAAAAGACGTACACTTAGAGTTGATAAACAGGATGCTTCTGAACACATTGTGAGCCTGGAAATGTGCTTGCAGTGCCAAAACTGAAGACCTGTCATGGACAAGACATTTTGGAGGGTTTTCATTTATTAGGGTCCTGTAAGTCAGAGATGACAGCACATAACAACGAACGAACATAGAACAGAGCTCACTAAAATCCACTCCTAGTTAACCCACACCCTCTTCATTTCAGCAGCTCAACTGCAGTGGCATTTTAAAATATTATTTTGCTGTTATTGTTTAATTGCTTGGTGTCCGAAACTCGGACGGACCTACTTCGAATCACCAGTAGATCCGATCCCGCCTCGGCCCTCCCCTGCCTCGGGAAACAGGTGCGCTGCGGTGCATATAGCCAGCCACAAGGTGTCGCCCGTGCTTTAGTTATACGGCTACTCTTCACGAGGCGCTCTCCCACCCATCAAAGGTCACATTGGGGTCACCCGCTCAGCTGTTGGAGGATTAGCCCTTAATGCCCTGCGAGGGGAAGGGGTTAATTAACTACTCCCACCACCCGATTTTGCCTCATTCCCCTTCACAGCCCGGCCCAGCCCTGATCCTCACGAACCAGGCCGGGATTATGGGATTAGCCCAAACCATCCTGTGAGCGGGACTTCCTGCCGAACAAAGGAGGGAGCGGGGAGCGGGCGAGTCGGGGCGCGGCATTCAAGGGGTTACATCCTGCTGCCCGTGGAGGGGATGCCCCTCCCACGCACCCCCGAGCTCACCAGCCGGGCCTCTGGCGGCTCGGGGCGGCGCGCGCGGAAACGCGGGGGACTCCCTGCGCGGGGCTCCTAGGGACATGCACGGGCGGGTCGCGCCCGCCGGCCGCGCCACTCCGTGCTGGCCCGAGCCTCCCGCGAGCCGCGCCCGCCGCCGCCCCGGAGCCCCGCGCCGCCCCGCCCCGCCCCACCCCACCCCACCCCACCCGCCGGGCTCGCCCTACCTGGCCCTGCCCGGCGGCCGCCTCCGCCCCTGCGCCTGCCCCGGCAGCGTGCCCGGCGAGCGCGGCCGCCCCTCGGCGGGCTCCGCGCCGAGCCGCCGCGCCGAGCCGCCCCTCTCGCTGCTGCGCCGCCCGTCTGCACGGCGCGCCACAGGCCACTGTCTCTTTAAGTTCCTCCCGCACTGTGCTGACAGCTGCTCCCCGCCCGCCTCCCTCCTTCCTCCCTCCCTCGGCTCCGGCTCCGGCTCCGGCTCCCTCTGTCTGCCACAGCAGCTCCGCTCGGGACCAGCCCGCGCACCGCTGCCCCCCGCCCCTCTCCGTCCCCCTCGCCCCGCGGGGACCATGCGCCTTCCCCGAGGCGGGCGCCCAGAGGGACCCTAGCCCCACGGACCCCCCTCCCCGCCTGTGCGCCCCTTCCTCCTCCTCCTCCTCCTCCCCCCACCCCCTCCGCCCCAACCCTGCAGCCTGAGCGAGATGTTTCACGCCTTGGTAGCAGGGGGCATTGTCTTCCCCGGCCTCTTCCTGCTGTCCAAGAACGGCCTCAAGTGGCTGCCAGGGCTGCGATGGGAGGAGGCCGACGCGGTCATCGTCTCAGCCAGGTAACCGGCGATGCAGCAAGGAGCGGAAGATGCAGCCGGGGTCTGGCAGTGGCGGGTGGCCCACATTGCGAGAGGGTGGGCAGGGGGTAGGCCTCTGGGTGCAGGGCTCGGAGTATGTCCGGATTTTGGCTCGCTTGTCAGGAGCAGGGTTGGGACGAGAGGGGACTCAGTGGGTCGGAGGGCTTCTGAGCCGGGGACAGAAGGGGAGTTTCCTTTGAAAGGGGAGTGGTAGAAAGAGGTTGGGCCGGGAACTCGGTGTCTTTCCTGAGTTCGCTCAGTGGGTTCAAGGATGGTGTGGCTGCTGCGAGCTGTGAGTCCTGGATCCGTGCCTGGGAGTGGAGTGGAGTGGAGTGTGCAGTGGCTCCCCTCTACAGAGTTGATTGGGTTATCCGCAAGTCCGGAGTCCTGCATTCCCTGGGAGAGGTGTACCATCTGGGCCTGTGTGAGCAGGAGCTGCTGGGTCCCCAGGGATGATCAATTAAGGGTGAAGAAGGCAACTAAACAAAATGAGATGTAATTATCCCAACATGGCAACCAAGCACAGGGATCACCCAGCCGAATCAAGGCTCCTCTTCTCAGGGTGCTTGGAGCCTTGTGCAGAGGCGTCCGTGAACTTAGGGCTTGGACTGAGGTTTGGCAAGGACGGTAAGGCTACCTAGAGCCCCGCAGCTCACCGATTCCTTGGGATCGGCTATTGAACACGTTCTAGGCAAACGGGGTAGTTTGCTGGGGCAGTTCACTGGAGGGGAGAAAGATGGCATCTTTTCTGGGTTCTAAGAGAGCCTTCAGCAGTCAGATGGGGGTAGAATGCTGCCCCATTGCTGCCCTCGTGACCCACAACAGAATTGGCTGTGCTTGTGGGGGGCTTCTGAAGTCTTGAAGTCCAAAGCAGCTGGAGATCGAACTTCTGGCTTAGGTTCACCTGCATGGACCATCTCTGTGACTGTGCCTCGTATTGGGGTCAAGAAGCAACTAGGTCCCTTAGCAATAGTCGCTGATCTCCTCAAATGCCCTTTGATAGAAGCAGCATTATGGGATAGCAAAAGCCATGTGGTTCAGAACAGAAGGTGTTTGGCGGACCTTTGGGGGAGACTGGGGTAAGGCAAGGGGCTTGGGTCAGTTCTGAGCAGCGCTTGCTTGGCCTGCTGGCCTGGACTGCAGAGGGCAGAACCAGAATGTCCAGTGAGCTCTCGGCTCCACGAGAAGAGTGGGATGACCACATTAAGCTTGCCTCCATCTCCCCTTTTTCCCTCCCTCGCAACAGACTTGTCTCCTCGGTGCAGGCCATCATGGCTTCCACAGTGGGCTACATTGTCTCCTCGTCCTGCAAGCACATCATCGACGACCAGTAAGTCAGCCTTCCGCTCTCTGCACGCTGGGCAACGCTACCGTGCCTCAGCCTCTTTTCCGCCCATCCCTTTCCTGACCTCACTTTCCACGCTTGGCCCTGCAGCGTGTTGGCAAGGTCAGGCAGTGAGACACCTGACACCCGCACAGGGATGGGCACCAAATTTAGCACAGGATGAGTGACATGGTAGGCAGATGTGCACAGAAAGGTAGTCTAGCCCCGGGAGACACGGTGGTAGGATGGAGACAGTGGCTCGCAGGCGAGGGGAGTGCCTTGCTGTTTCTGCCCCGCAAGGGGGTGCTTTGGGGTGATGGAGAGGCAGAAGCAGGAGTCTCACTGGAGAGGGCTGCTTCCACGTGCCCGTCGCCCGGCAGGCCGGAGGGTGCTGGAGGCAGCCGGGGAAAGGAGAGAGGCTTCCGGGCTACTCCGGGCCAGGCGCTGTCCATGGTGCTGCAGGCGCCCGGCCTCCTCGGCTGGTGCCTCTTTTCAGGACCACGGGCAGCTCCAACTTGTCCTCAAGGTGCCTCACCGGGCCGGGGCAGCATGCGGGAGCGCGCACGGGGACAGGAACTGCCAGTCCCACCGGATTCTGGGCAAGCTGCCCGACCTCAGTCCCTGCAGAATTCAATTTGGCAGGGAGGGCAGCTCTGCAGGACAAGCGGGGCTGTGAACCAATGCAGCACGACTCCGGAGAGGACGGAGGAGGGGGCCGGATCGAGATCGGAGGGTGTGGCGGGGAGCCAAAAGAGCCAGAGCCTTTCCCATTGGTGGGCTCTCCATGCTCTGTCATCGGAGTTGTTTCATTTTACACTAATGAATTTGGCTGGGATTAGTCCCTTCCCTCGGAGAGGCTAGATGGGGCCACGTGGGCTAATTCCTCCTTCGTGTAGATCGGGGCAGCAGGGGGGATTAAAGCAAAGCAACAGCTGCTTCCCTTACTGATTTGCATTCTTTGGACTCGAAATTGGCTCTATTGAACAACCAGTGATGATGAATCCCAAGGCTCCCTAAGGAAGGAAGAAGTGGCGCTTTGTGGGTTAAATCAGCTGGGGCCGGGTTTCTAGTTTCTGTGGACATGAGCTGCATGGGTTACAGTTAGGAGTGGGGTTATAAGACAGGACTGCCTCAGCATTTTAATCTGTTATGATCAAGATATTACCATGCTCCATATGCAGGGAACCTCTGACTAGAAGTTACGTAGATGTTTTCCTGGCAACATTTCAGCTCTTTTGGTGCATCCCCTTAATTGACCCCAGTACCCAAGTGTCTGGCAGCATCCTTATTGTCCTACAGCAAGGGGAAAAACCATATATGACTGCATCCCTACAGTGTAGGGCAGCATTCTTCAAACTGGCACCTGCCAGATGGTAGAGGTAGTCGTTGGGGATGATGGGAGATGTAGTATTGCCCATCTAGAGGATGGCAGATTAATAAAGGTTGGTGCAGAGTCAGCACACACACATGTGTGAACTCCACCAAGTACTGCTTATCTCTCACCCCATTTTCCCCTCCATCCTGGGCACCCCATAATATCCTGCGGGCCCTGAATCCTGCATCTTCTGCAGCATCCAGGCCACTTCTCTGGCATCCAGCCTAATCACCTTGCATGACAGTGAGGGCTGCTCTCAGCACAAATGCCCAGGCAGGCTGCAGTGGTGAGCGAAAGGAGGCACATGTTGGAGAGAGCGCCAGTTGGCAAAGAATATAATGCTTTCCTGGTGACCAAGCAATGAGGGTCAGTTGTTTAGTGTTCTGCCAGGGAGATACACGGGAGCTGAAAATATAAAATAAACCCCTGCCAAGGAGGTCAGAATGTGTAAAGATAAGCCTGCAGCCAGATGTTTTGACAGTAGAAGTGTAGGCCAAGATAACCATGTACAAAAGTAAAGGGGATGTTTTCTGCTATGATTTTTTTCTGTTGCTAATCACTGCAGAAAGCTAAACTTGCACATTTTTTGCGTGTGATGACTGTGGCAGCTGGTCCTGACTGGAGATGGGCTCACTCTCTGTTGTGAGTGTGCACTTACAACAAGGAATCTTTTTTCCTAAATAAAGTTGCTTGCTAGCATTGCCTGTCTCTCTCACGGTCAGGCAACAAACAAGAGGGACCTTTTTTTGTCCGCAGCATTGACTAAATCACTGCTTGTACTTAAGGAAATGGTAGTTTAATTGCCTCTGCTTCAGCCTATATATGGATATATAAATGGATTAGAGCCAGAAGTACCTTTAAGTCTCAGAACTCACCTCTTATCACCTGAAGTGGAACTGGATTAAGTCCATCATCCTGAACCTATCTGTAGTAATCCTATTGCCTTTTTATAGGGAAGGGGTTTAAGGTCAAAGGCACTGGTGTCGAGCAAGTAGTAAGCCAAAGCATCCTGAATGTCAGGAGACTGGGGGAGCCCTGGGGGAGCCCTTGCGATAGCCACAACGGGGGCGGAATTGGAAGGTGGCGGCAGCGACTGCCCGTGTTGGCACTGCTTGGACACGGGAGAGAGCCTGGGGCTCCGACTGTGCTGGACGGGGGCCTGGGAAAGAGGGAAGGCACACAATGGGGGCTGTGACAAAGGCAGAATCTGTGTCCTCATCGCCCTTGCGGAGGGAGCACACCAGCCGGTCATCAATACCCATCGATTGTGGCCAAGAGCCTGTTCCAAGTGGGCGAGGCGTCCCCTCCCCTCCCCTCCCCTCCCCTCCCCGGGCAAGCGGCCTGCAATCATTCACGCACACCCTCCGCCTTTCTCCTCTCTTGCAGGCACTGGCTGACCTCCACCTACACCCAGTTCGCCGTCCCTTACTTCATTTACGACATCTATGCCATGTTCCTGTGCCACTGGCACAAGTACCGAGTCAAAGGACACGAGTCGGCAGGGACACGGACGTTGCGCACGGTGGTGCGGACCTACCTGCACAAAGAGTTCCTCATGGTGCTCCACCACCTCTTCATGGTGCTGGTTTGCTTCCCTGTGTCTGTGGTGAGTGGGACCAGGAGAGGCTGCGACGTGCGCGGAAGAGGGGAGCGCGTGGGGCGGGCACTGGGCGTGGGAGAGGCCATCGCTCCTTGGGGGGCAGCGGGGGGCAGAGAGGGCACGGTGCTTCAGGCGGTGCAGCCCCAACCTAGTCACACCCCTTCTCGAATCTCCCCCCTTCAGCTGTGGCGCCAGGGCAAGGGCGACTTCTTCCTGGGTTGTATGTTGATGGCTGAACTCAGCACCCCCTTTGTCTGCCTCGGCAAGGTCCTCATCCTGGTAAGTACGGCCTGGGCCTGTGGATGCTCTGCGGGGGAGAGAACAGCCCCTGCTGGGCCAGGAGCCGGTGCTCTGCCTGCGAAGAGGATGGGGATGCTCGTGCGTGGAGCAAGGGCTGCTGAAAGAGGATGGGCAGGGGGAGGGAGGATGGTGCGGAGAAGCCCCTGAGCACCCGCTCAACCCTCCTTCCTCCCGCAGTACAAGCAGCAGCACACGCTGCTCCACAAGGTGAACGGGATGGTTATGCTGATCACGTTCTTCTGCTGCCGGATCCTTCTCTTCCCGTACATGTACTGGATCTACGGGCGGTATGCTGGCCTGCCCTTTTACCGTGTGCCCTTCTCGATCCCTGCTGAGTACAACATGGGAACAGCCATACTCATGGCCCCGCAGGTCTACTGGTTCGGCCTCATCTGCCGGGGAGCGTTCCGTGTGTTCCGCACCCGGGGTGCCACCAAGGAGCAGGTCTTGCGAAACGGGCACCCGCCAGAGACAAAGGCACTGGACTGATACCTCTTCTCCTTCAGCCCCAACATGGACAGACGTTTCCCGCTAACTTATTTATTTATTGGGGCATGGGAGGGACTGGGCTTAAGGTGGGTGGGAGTGAGCTCCTAGGCCAAAGGGGAATGCGGGAGGGACTGGAAGGGGGTGTCTCCAAGGAAGTCTTTGGAGGGCGTAAAAATGAAACACAGATCCCAGGGTTGGGTGTGGGATTCCTCTGCCAAAGGCAACCCTCTAATTGTGCAGCACTGTCAGTATTCTGAATGTTCTCTGGTGTGGTGTGGGAATACAAGTAGGGTCCAAGCCAAAGGGGAATGTGGGGGGGGGGTCCTCTCTTCCAGGCAGACATTCAGGCCAGTTGGGTACAAGAGGCAGGGGGTGGGGGGCAAAGAGACCAAGGACAGGGTATGGTTGGCATTTGTGAGGTGGGCTGCAAGACCAAACAAAAGGTCTCTACAGTGTTACGGGCTCTGCCAAACCAAATATGTGTATGTGTACGTATGTGAGTATTACTTGCCATACAGTTATGATCGTATCCCAGGATTATTTGCGTATATTTTAGGCAAAGAGACAAGCCTGTCATTTCAGTGGATGCAGGGAAATAACATTACCTGGGAACAGAGCAAGATGCTAGTCATAGTGTGTGTGTTGGAGAAAATAGGCAAAGGTGTTGTTGTTTTCTGTACCACTGTCTAGAGAGTCACAGTATCCCAGATATTATTAACAGGTGCTGAGGAAATAGTATGGGACGTGGATTTCCCCACACTGTGACTATAGCAGCAGAATTAGACATTTTTCATAGGATTATCTGATAAAGAGAGCATCTTGGAAAGGTTGAATGCTGCTAAATAGCAATTTAGCAAATTATCTTCGGTATTTCAAGAATGTCGTCCACCCAAAGCATCCTAGAACTGTATAAATGCATATTCATTTGCACTGGGAAGGCGACTCGAGGGGTGCTTCCAACGTATGTATGCCTCCCTCCCATCTAGCAATAACCAAGGAAGGGATAACTCTCTCATTTGCCACCCCTTCCTCTGCTCAGCACACAAACCCTTCACTTCTCCCTCCTAGAAATCCCCACTCGACAGGGCAGGGTTCCAGCTGTAAATAGGGGATGGGTGGGCTGTATTTATAACTCAAGGTCTGCAAAGTATTAAAGGAGCCTTTATCTAATGCCAGTAGAGGGCCACGCGTATCTTTATTTCTCTCTCTCTCTGCTAAGGCTTACACACACACACAGAATGGTTCTGAATTACCTGCTGTTAAGAAAAACCCAAGTGCCCCATAGCAATCCCGGTTGCTTTCCTCCCCTGACTTTTTAAAATTAATTCTACACATACACATTCAGGAGAAAGGTATGAAACTAAAATACTGGAAAAGGCAGAAAGCAGCTGGTTGACACTGGAGCCAAATCTGATGTAATGGGTTATCCTGCATTTGACTTTTTGAAAATTCTGAAAGAAATCCAAGGAGAAGACAACCATAATAAAGAACCGAATGGGGTGGGAATATATCACACCCCCCTCAAAGTCAACAAAAAAGGTGGGGTGCATACTTAAGAGCACACAAGACACGCTGGCCAGGGTGACACGTACATTTTAGAGATGATCTGATAGAGGAAGAACAGCAGGATGAGGACAACTGATCCCAGCAGGATAGAGCGCAGCAGCCCGGGAAAGGTACCTGCAGGCATCAGAGGGGGAGCGGTTTCCCTTGGGTAAGGACCCCCATCAGCCAGCACAGGGCTCTCAATCGAGTGTGAAACAGCAAGGCAGCCAAGCAGGAGAAGGGAGGAAGCGTGAGGCCAACCGGGCGCAGGTCTATCCCAGGGCCGGGGCAAGAGTCGGCCCCCTGCCCAGCTCCCTGCAACTCGCTCCTCCTCCCCCCCATTGCAAGCTGCTTATTCACTGGAGGGACAACAGAGGGGTGAGGAAATGCTTCCTGCGCACTGGCGCTCTGCCTGTCCAGCAAGCAGGTGGTCGTTGTGATGAGGAAGAGGAGGACAGGAAATAGCAGCAAGAGACAAATGCAGGAATGGTCCTTTGAGGATGTCCTGCCTGCAGCCAGGCCTCCGGCCAGCCAGTGGCCACTAGTCTCCCCCAGGCCTGCCTAGAGCAACCAGGCAGCCAGGACCCAGCCTGGTGTCCTGCTTGGGCCGGTTTGGTCCCTGCAGAGCTGCCAATTCAGGGGAGTTTTGCAACAAACTGGGTGAAGCGGCTCTCACTTGGAGCAATGAATTCGGGTTGCTCTCCAATAAGCTTGTAAGTAGCAAGGATCTTCTCTTTATCGGAGTCAGGATAATCGAACCAGAGTGGTTGACTTGGTGAAGAGTGTTGTCCCTCTGGCATCTTCTTTTTCTCCTCAGGTGCTGTGGGCCCAATAATTCCAGAAAAACACCCATCAGGGAACATTTGGAAAGACAATCCTGTCTTCCAGGGGACTCTTTCCTTTCTTAGTAAAAATGCAAGTATAATCCCTCCCCCATGCTTGTTTTCCAAGGAAGTTTACCATTTATTAAGTTTTGAAAGAGCAAATTGGCCTCACTGCAGGCTACACTTTGCACTTAAGTAACGAAAGTTCTGATTTAAACATGCACACATGCACAGAAGAGTTCCTCAATTGTATTCATCGACTGCTGCTGCACTGCCTTTCTCTGGGGGTGCAAATAAGAGTCAACATTTCCAGGAGTCAGCATGGCAAGATGCACTTGGGAGGAGGAACGAAAACCTAGATAACCTACCATTAGCCAAACTTTATCAGATCAATAATTTTTCACTGCTCTTCTTCAGTACTTCAAGGACAAGTTTCAGATGACTTTAAATTCAAGGCTGGAGCTAAGCTCTGCTTTGTATTGTTGCAAGAGCATTGCCACCATTCTGCCAGAAATCTCTCAGTGCTCCAGAGAAATGCCATTCTGAGGATCTCCCCACTGGGAACCATACCAAACAACGGCACAATCCTGTGCACATTTAGACACGGGGGACAAACAATATGTCATGCCTGCTTGGAGACCACTTTTGGTCTCAACTGGCATAGGACTGCACCTTAAAGCGGTTAGGGTGGAAATGATGCTAATTATGTGGATTAATGTGGCACATGGATGCAGGCAACGGGAGGGCTAGAGCAACCCATGTCATCTCCAAGATCTGGGAATCTCAGCAGGAAGGGGGCTTGGGAAGGCTTTGGCTAGGGACAGCCCCCTCCTTGACCACTGTATGTAAGGCCTGGCCGAATTCAGATTCAGAGAGACTCTCAGGGCCTGCATTCCAGTAGCAAGCAGAGCCAAAAGCAAAAGGGAACCAGGGCAGAATACTGAAAATCAGAGTTACAAAATCGAAAGCAGAATGTTTTACCTTGAATTTTTCACTGCCGGTAATTAATTGTTAAGAGAAGCTTTTCAACCTTTTAGAAGGGGGAGTGGGGAGAGAAGATGAAAAGACCGGGGAAATCCTAAACAACTGGTGGGCAGGCAAAGAGGTAGGGCCTTCTGGACTGCAGGTGGGCCAGATCTGGACCCCTGGCTGAGGTTCAACACCCCTGGACTACCATGACTGGCCACAGGTCTCCAGCGACTCAAGGAAAGGAAGCCAAGTCCTTTTGCTCAGAGACGCAGGTTTCGGACCAAAAATCTTTTACATCCGGCGTGTGCCCCCGGCCACTGAGCAACAGCTGCCACAACCGCCAACGGTCAGGAGTGCCGTTACAGTGAAGGCCACAAGTGCCGTGCAAGCAGCCCTGCAGCCTGAAATTTGAGGCTCTCTCCATGGTGCCGAACCGAAATGGGACCAGTGTCCAGCACCATGGACAGCTCAGCAAAAAAATCCGGCACGATACATCATTCCACTGACACTGGAGGCACGAGCCTCCACCAACAGGGAATCGCTTCAAAGACATTTAGAAGGCACCAGGCTGGGGGGTGACTATGCCACAGTTCGTGCTGCCGGGATGCGGGGTGGAGATCAAGGAGGGGAGGCCCTGAAGAGGCCCACAGAGGCAGCTCTGCGAGAAGTCTGTGCTCACCTGACAGTGCCTGGAGGTCAGTCGGGGTCACAAGGTTTGTCAAGTGCACAGGAGCGGGAGCAGCAGAAGCGGCCTCCGCCTTGGCACAGCCGCACCCCCAGTCATTCTATGACCTCACAGTGGGAGGTTCCCCCCACCCTCCATTCCAGCCTCTTCCTCCTCCTGCTCAGGGTTATTCCCAGCCCTCCCCCACTAAAAGAAAGGCCATCTGTGTTTCCACAAAGCGACCACCTCAGACGTGTAATGGCAAACAGAAGGAGTCGGGAACAGAGAGCAAAATGCATTTTGTTTTTGCTTGGATTAATGTGGCGCATGGATGCGGGGAAGGCGAAGGCCCAGCCCGGCCTGGCCTGGCCCATGTCATCTCCAAGGCACTTCAGGAATCTCAGCTGAAGCAGGCCATGCCCAGCTCCGATCAGCCCTAAGAGGGCTTTGGCATAATCCCCAACAGCCCTCCTGCAGCTGTGAAGAGGTTGATAGGGGAGGAACCATCCGTGATGAGGGTAGATTGGATCCCCAGGCCCTGGAGGAGTTTTGCCTGCAGAGAAGAGCAAGTTAAGAATCCGTCAGGGCTGCAAAACACCCGGACCCAATGGGTTTCTTTGCCAGCATATCTAATACCCAAGCTCTTTGCCAGCATATCGACCCTTACGCCACTCTAGTCCTTAGGAACCTTCGGCCCCGCTGCAAAATTAGTCCAACTATCCTAGAAATGTCAAATATCTTTCACCTCAAATGCTGATTTCAGTTTCAGAGAAGCTCTTAGCAAGAAACACATGCCATGGGTGGGAGGGGACAAAGGGAAGAATGGGGCTAAAATGCCAAAGAAAACAGATATTTCGGCCTAAATTGCTTCCTGCCAATAGCTAAAGCCTCAGGGGAGGCATTTCAATCTTACCAGAATTTTTTTTTGTGGTGGGGGCTGCAAAAACTAAGGAAAAAAACCCAAATGAAATGTGAGTCAGAGGCCAGTGGAAGGGCTATGGCCCCCTGGAGAGCCTGGAGGCCCATCCCGGGACCAGGTGCTCTGGACTGGCACATGGGCCTTCTGGAAAACATCCCTGAATCCAGCCTGATTTCATGTACATTGACTATCAGTGCCTTTTTGCCCCCTGAGAGGGGGGTCTTCCCACCCACTGCCCCCTGAAGTTTCTCACTGCAGATGCAGAGAACTGAGCGTGGGGCCTTTGGGATATGAACATGCGCTCCACCCCACAGCACAATGGCCCTTCCCTGGTGGGGCGACTGTCCCTGTTTTCTCTGATGCCCTTTCCTTCACTTGCGGCTTCTCTCACCTGCATCTCTGGTCCAGACACAGCGATGGCGCGGATTGTGTCGGGCCCCAGGGACTGGATCACAGCCTCAAATTTCTTCACCTCCACCTCAGCAAGCGCCTGTGCGTGAGCCACGTCCAGGTCGGCCTGAGATTTGTTGAAGCGCAGCTCCTGCTCCCGGGCTTGGGCAAGGCGCTTCAGCTCTGACTCCTGCAAGGGATTATGGGTAGCATGAAACAGGTGGTACAACCCCTGGAGTGCAGTATGACTGGCGTAAAAGGGTTTTCTTTTGAGAGAAAGGGGAGTACCCCTCGGTAAATGCCCCCTGGTCCCCAGAGACATGCTGTAGAGAGCTGGATCCAAAGGCCAGATGGGAAGGAAGCAGCCCCTGGAGTGGCTCCATAGAAATTGAGAGCAGGGGGTCCTACAGCCCCCGTGCAGGGAAACTCTACAGCAGTGCTCATGTTTCCATTATGGAAGAGGCTGAAAGAGGGCAGGAACCCCTCCCCTCCCCTCCTCCCCTCACCTCACCCCCACTGCCCTAGCACAAGGAGTAAGAAGCCATCCCTTCCACAAGAGGGAGAAAGAGGCCTTCCATGGGATCCAGCCCAAAGGCATTAAAATTAAACTCCCTCCCCCAGGTGGCCAGCATGAGGATCCCATCAGGGGCCACTAGGGCAAGTGATGGACCCGCTGCCGTCTTCATGGGCCTCGCAAGGCGCTCAGACTCCTCTGCAGGGGTGGGTGACTCAGTGCCCGCCAGGTCTGCTTGGCTACAATCCTCATAAGTGCCATGTGAATAGTTATCCAAAACGCCCAGAGGGTACCAGGTTGGGGAAGGCTAATGAGCACGATACTTCACCTCTCATAATACATAGAATAACTCCACAGAGCCTAAGGAAAGGCCCCAAGACTGTGGCTACAAAAGGGGAAATGCTTCTGAGAACACGTTCATAAAATACAGAACAAGAGGGTGGGGACCAGTGAAAGACTGTCAGCGGTTCAGGAGAGAGCGCAGCTGCGGGGGAGAAGGCAGGGGCTTTTCCAGAGGGGCTATGATATTTCCCAGCCCATGGTGCCCCACTTGGAGGGTAGCGGCTGCCACTGCTGCACTCTCCTTGCTGAGAGGAAAGCGAGGTGAGCAAAGGAAGGGCGGGACTCACGGTCTCTATGCCCATCGCCTCGGCCTTCAGCTTGGCCTGGAGGACTGCCCCTTCGCCCTCGATCCGGGCCGCCTCTGCTCGTGACTGGGCTTCAGCCTTGGCGGCCCCTGTGCTCTCCACAGCCGTGCTATGGAGAGAGGAGAGAGTGGAAAGCTGGGACCTCCCAGGTGCTGTTCATTTGCCAGGCTGGCCCTAGGCAGCCGGTGCCGCTCAGCTGCCCCCTGGACCTCAGCCCTGCCACCTCACCTCAGAGCTTCCAGCTCCAGCAGCTCCTTCCGGGCACGTTCCGCCTCCGCCTGGTCCAGGATTTTCTGCCGCTCAAGACGTCCTCGGGCTTCTTGCTCCAGCCTCTCTGCTTCATGCCTGGGATGTGGGTGAAAGGGAGGCAGAATCAGAGGAGTGGGAAGCGACCAGCCAACAAGCACCATCCGTTTCAGGGATGGCTACCAGGGATGGATCCCCCAGGAGAGACCCTGATGAGGGCAAGAGGGCAGGTCTGGAGGAGAATATTGCGTCCATATCTGCCCTCTCGCCCCCTGAGATCAGCAACGGATGCCCTTCTCCAGGAACCCTCCGTGAAAGCTAGGAGGAGGGCGAGTACCCGGAGGAGGGCTTTCTCTGTGGTGGCGCCCCACCTATGGAATGCGCTCCCCAGAGAGGTCTGCCTGGCGCCATCGTTATTTGTTTTTCGGCGCCAGGCCAAGACCTTTTTATTTAAACGTTATTTTAATTGTTGAATTTATTTATTGATTTTATATTTATGCCGGGATGTCTCCAGATTTTTATGTATTTGTATAGTTATTTATTTGTATTGGAAGCCACCCCAAGGCTTTTGCGAATGAGGTGGCATATAAGTGTTCCAAACAAACAAACAATTTATATATATTGTGGGAGGTGAAGAGAAGCTCCTTGGGGTCCTGAGTGCCTGGGAAGGTAGAGAAGGCAAATGAATGCCAAGACTTCAAGGAGTGTTTCATGTTTTGAGAGGAATGGATTTTGACACTTAATGGAGCAGAGAGAAGGGGATTTTTCCATTGGGGAGCTTCAAGCTGCCCTTACAGATGCAGAGATAAGCTTGGAAGGGTGTCAGCACTGCCTGCTGAAATTTCAGGAGCTGCAGAGATGGCAGAGTCAGGTTTCCAGGGCTTGTGCAGCCCTAGTGAGTGCTTTGGCCTCTCTCCTGATGGCTTAGCAGAAGCAGAGCAAATGGCAAAATGCACAGAACTTTTCCAAGTTGCTTTCTCTGATTGATGGAAGGGACAGCTTTCCTGAGTCAGGATCCTGAGTCTCAGCACACCCCACCAAAGTGATCTGCAATTTCTTCTTCCCGCTCTGCTTGGCGGGAATAACCTGGACAGTGGTCAGCAATTCTCTTCTGGAGCCAGATGATATCGCGGATCAGAAGACGGGCTGTTTCTGTGGGCCTGCATCTTTAAAATCAATCTCCCGGCAGCCTCTTCTGCCCATTCCCCACCTGGGGTCTTCCATACACTTCAGACCACAACTCCCATAATTCCTGGCTTCCTTTTCAGAGATGCAGCATGAATCTCAGACAATGATGGCCTGCAGAGGGGACAGCCACCCCTGTGGGTGCTCAGGCGGAATGGTATGGAAAGTGGGATTTTTTTCAGGCACTTGGATTCCTGCAGTTTGGGGCTTTCAGGGTGTTTGCTGCACCTTGTACTGGACGTGGGAGAAAGTGGCAGCCAGGATCAGATTCAGGATGCCACAGCTGCGAGCCCTCATACAATGCTGAGACAGGCAACCCGGAACCCCTCTGATGACTTGGACTACACCCCCCATAAGCCCCAACCAGTATGGACTACAGGCCGAGATAATGGGACCTGGAGTCCAAAGCATCTGGAGGGCTCCAGGGTGGCTACTTGCCCCCCGGAGGGAACATCGCATGGATCCTTGTGGCCAGTCTATCCCTGGGCGGTAAAGGTGGAAGTGCACACCTGGGAGCTCCTAAACACCAGGACGCCTCGGGTCAAGGAGTGCCCCACATGGCACACCTGCCCCTTCACAGGGATGTGACCGCCCCCCTCCAAACAGGTTGAATACCAAACTCTCAGAGCTGTGAACAGCCCCCACCCCTGCAAGGTGTCTGTCCTACCAGGATTCGGCTTCACCCCACTGGCCTTCATGCATCCCATTGCTGAGTTCAGGCCTTTCCAGCCTCACCTGAGGCAGATGATCCTATGAAGTCAAACCTGCTGCAGTGAGCGTACAGGTGACACCTCCGCCCACTGGCTTCATCTAGCTCCAGGATGTCAAATTCAGGGCCCTCCAGAGGTTGGAGTGCAATCCCAGCATCCCGACCCAGCAAGGAGGGCTGACAGGAGAGCCCAGACTTTGCTGGACTGCAACCACCATTCGCCCTGCTCTGGCCAGCTGCATGTTCCCCATCCCTGATACAGGTGGTAACGATCTGGTGGACCAGAGATTGGGAAGACTCAGCAGGGCTGCCCCCACCTTCTCTCCCAGCAAGGCCCCCATCCATCAGGGCAACCAAGCCTATTTCACTGCCAAACCCAGACTGAAATGGGCCCGGATGATTCGTGTCCTCTTGGCCCAGCTGGCTTGCTTATGAAGTGGCGTTCCTTCTAGATTTTGTTTCTTTTTATGGTCTCAGTTTTTAATGACAAATTGCCCAGAGAACTTTGGTTATGGGGCAGTATATAGATGGGAGGGAAGGAGGGAGGGAGATGGAGAAGCTCTGGCCACGGCGTGGTTTGTTCCCTCCCTGCCGCACCCATCCCTGAGCTTCCAAGTACCGGGCAGCCGCCTCCTGGGAGTTGGTGGTGATCTCAATCGCGAGTTGGACACTGCGCTGCAGGGAGTCACGCGTCCGCTGGTCCACAGGCTCCACGCTCTGGATGTCGATGCTGCTGATGACGAGGCCATTGGGGGCGAAGCGCAAGGAAGTGCGCAGGGCCCCTTCTCCATCAAACCCGAACACGGCAGCACAGATCAGGCGGTTTGAGTTCTGAGGATATTTACTCCAGTAAAGTGAGGAAGCACAGATCCTACTACACCTGGTAAGCACGGTGTGGAGCTTAACACATCGAAGGGCCCTAGTGCATTCATACTATGCACTGGGGGAGAAAACTGCAAAGGTTTCCCTCTCCCACAGCAGGCAATATTGGGAGCAAGCGTGGGCAGCAGTTAGAGAGTTAGATTAGGGCTGGGGAGAACCAGGTTTGAATCTCTGCTTGTCCATTAAGCTTCCAGGTGACTTTGGGCAGGCCTAAGCAGACTTGGGGGCTGGGGTTGTGAGATAGAAGGGAGATAAACAAACAAACAAACAAACAAACAAACGAACGAATGAATGAATGAATGAATGAATGCAAAAAGTATGGTTGCATTCACTGGGCTAGATCTGTCCTGTAATGCCATGTTTACCATGTGGAGGAGAACACATTTCACTTTTGAAGGCTGTCAGAACCAGCAGCTACCTGAGGGCAAAGCAACCACTTTGGACAGCTTTTTCCAACCTAGCTCTTTCGAAACATGCTGAACTACAACTCCCACCATCACTATCCACCACATCCATTGGTTGTGCTGGCTGGGCATGCTGGGAGTTGCAGTCCAACGCATTGGAAGGGTGCCAGGGTGAGGAAGCCTAGTCTCTGAGGCCTGTGAGGGGTTAGCCTCAAAACACAAGTACCAGACAAATAGGACAGCATTTGAATGAAAAGCTAAAACTGGGGAATTAAAACTGAGAAGCAGGACACCAGACAGGCAGGCTAGAGTGTTCCGAGCATCAGCCAACACCTGAGCTCCTGTTCAGGCCCGACCAAAGGCCTAACTAATCCAGCATTCTGTTCTAGCAGGGCCCAGCCAGATGCCTTCTGGGAGGCCTTCAAGGGGGCACCAGGGCAACAGTGTGCTAACCCGCACCCAAACCCCACTTGTGCTCCCTGGCTACTGGGACAAGGACACGTTCTGCCTTCGACATCGTGACTGGAGGCCACTGTGCCAGCCTGTAGGGTCAGTGGGGGGAGTCCTGCCTCAGAATTCCCTGCTCCCTCCCGCAAGCTTAGCTGCTGTAATTACAGCACTTGGGTGGGCTGGGAATGAGTTTTCCCAGAAACAAGATATTTTGTCCCATGCTAATGCCAAAGATTTTGGGGTGCCTTGGTCTTAAATGGAGAATTAAGACCCAAGAGCTTTACAGAAGATCTCTTCCTAGTGGAGATGGAAACAGCTACAACTAATTTGTTGATGTGAATCAACGCAGCAGCCTGAATGCTTTACTCTGTGGGGGTGCAGCTACGGAGAGCATCACAAGAGGCTGCCACTTCATGTTTTGGACTGTGCCACTGGGAGCCATTGGACAACAATGTTTCTTGGTCTGCCAACTACAGTGCATTACATTTTAAGGAAAGCCAGTCAAAATGCAGATGGGTTTTCCCTCTGCCCTCACAACCCTCCCTGCTTTCCTTCTAGGAGACACACAAGACCAAGAAAGGAAAGGAATCGTAAAAGAGGGAACGACTGACTCATGTGATTGCAGAAATCTGTGGGGAAGGGGCAGAAAGGTAGGAGAAAACACTGCACCTTATGGAAGTCATCAAACGTGACAGCAGCCACGGCCCCTCGGATGCGGGAGGCTAATGTCTTGCAGGCATCACCCACAAAGTCCAGGACGCTGAACAGCCGGGATGCTTCAGCAGGAGCGGGAATCTCAAAGTGCCTGACAGGGAAACAGAGATAGAAGAAGCACTTTGGAATCCTCACAGCTGCACTCAAAGCACAAGAAGCAGAGTTTAGTCAAGGCCCCCAAAGCTTGGCTGCCTCTCTGGGTAGCACCGCCTCCCATTCTTCCGAACCAAAATACTCATTTTTCTTGGAAGGAGACTGTCAGTTACACCCCCGGCTTTGTTCACAACTTGACTCCAATCCCCACCCTTTCTCTCTGACCCTCTTTTACCCTCCCCTCAACCTGGTGCCCTCCAGAGGTTTTGGACTACATCTCCCAGCAACCCTGACCATTGGGCCATGGTAACTGAGAATGGTGGGAGCTGCAGTTCAGAATTATGGGGAGGGCACCAAATGGAGGGGAGTTGCATTACATATGATCATCGGATACAAACTGCTTACTTAGGGGGCATGGGTGGGTAACTTGTGGCCCTCCAGATGCTTGGGCCTACGACTCCCATGATTCCTCACCTTTGGCTATGCTAGGACTGATAACAGTTGCAGGCTGAAACATCTGGCAGGCCCAAGCGCTACCTTCGAGTCCAGCTGACATGAGGGAAGAAGCCCTGCCGTGTGCCTTATGCAGCACTGGCATCCATGTTTTACTGAGGAGGAGTGTGCAGAGAGTGGGAACATAGCTCTGCTCTTTTAACCTTGCAGCAATCCCCTCCTTTAAGCAGCTTCCTTCAGCCGGGCCTATGATCCTGGAACTGAGCCAGGGCCAGAAGAAACACTTAAGAGATGGAGAACAGCAAGAAAAGGTAGAGGAGGAGCAGATACCTTCCCCTCCCATCTGCCGGGGGGGTGTTTTCTCTCGCTCACGTACAGAGTACATCCCACCCTTATTGTATATTCAAGCAGGGCAAACACTTGGCCACAACAGAGACATGGACACATGCAGACAGCCAGCAGGCTGCCTGGAGGAGGAGCAGCACCATTCAGCCAGCCCTGCCCATTCATTTTTCCTTACATGTTGTCATTTGAGATCCCACCCTTGTGGGCACGAACTATTCTTTTCACAGATAATGTGTACGCTGCTGAGAGGCGTTTTGGCTGAGGAATGGAATGACAATGCCTTGCACGAATGCAGGTGGCTGACTGGCTTTTTGAAAGTTATGAGCCTGGGAGATGCCACACAGGTGTATTTTTACTGAGAAAGCCAAACCACACTTTTAATAAGTGCAAAAGTAGAGCCATTGGGCTGTTGTTTTTAAAAGCAATAGACTCTCTCTAGCTGAGCGTATTTTCCCGGCTCGCCACATGTCCAGCTTCTTCCACCTCAGCTGTGGGTCTCCTGCTCCAACAGAGGTTGCCTCCAGCTCACCAGTTATAGGCCAGCTGGAGCTGCAGCCGGGCATGATCAGCTGTTTCAATGGTGATGATGTCAGTGAAGAAGTCAGGTCCCAGGAGGAGACAGAGAGCACGGCGAGCATGGGGACGTTTGGGCCGACCCCCAGACAGACTGAGTACTGTGAACTGTTCATCTGGCCCAAGGAGGACAAGCTCTGGGCCGAAAACCACCCTGAAAGGAAGAAGAGATGGGATTAAAGCTACAGAGGCCCCACAAAGCACTGCACATTTTGAGCTATGATGAAGCAGCGTCCTTCCTTGTGGCTTCTATATGCTAACTCACACATTTCCACCCTGTTCAGCAAAGGCACCCCTGCAATGTTAATAGGAAGTTTCCTCCTCGCACATCCAGCCCATTGTATTGCTTCATCTTACGAGTGACTGTGGTGAGCTGCCCTAATCTGGGAGATTAGGACTTTCTTACCAATTTCATTTTTAAAAGTTCTTCCTCAGCAAAATAGCACCATTTAATATTTACAGAATGGCTAGGGAGTTTGCCCTCATGAGCAACGAAGCAAGTTAATTAAGATGCAGTTCATCACTAATTCCCCTACCACACAGAACAGGAAGAAATGAAATGGGCTGAACATGTAAGGAAGAACCTTTTAATTCAAGGCAAAGCTGTCCTTAAAAGGCTTTCTAATGTGTTGCTTGTCCACACTGGACCCCAAAACTGTATTTTATTTTGAAATTTAGCAGAAATCAGGTCTGGGGTAAAAGGGTAGGAGAACACTGGAATGCAGCGATTTAAGTGATGTCCAAACATCTTGATGTTGTTACTGTCGCTCAGCCTGTCCTATCTCATGGGATTGCTGTGAATATAAAGCCTGCATGTGAGGCAGTGGGAGCAACGTGCTAGTCACTTCTGGCCTCCAGATGTTTTGGCTTAGAGCTCCTATCAGGTCGACTCAGCATAAGCAATAACAACAGCTACTGGGACAAAACATCTGGAGGGCCAGGAATTATCTGCTCCTGCTGTATCCTGCCCTGCATTCCTCAGAGGAAAGGTGAGGTACAAACGTAGAACAAACGTCTGTAGCAATGAAGAGATACGTGTTTGTGTCTCCATGTAAAGTCTGCAACGCAGTGCCAAGATGGTGAAGCCAAGGCCATCGGAACTCAGCAGGTGAGCTGACACAAGCCCTCCACTGCCTGAGCTGGAGGGTGTCCACCCCGTCACGCATGCTATGGGACAGTGGTGGCGAACCTGTGCCACGCGTGACACAGCGGGCGTACAGAGCCCACGCGAGCCCAGGCGCCCCAGCATCGCCCAGCAGCTGAGCATCGGGTAACAGCGCACAGAGGGGCCACGCACAGGCTAAGAAAGGAGTCGCGGTGCCAGGCGATGACGTCATGAGCCGTGACTCATCAGCCAAGCTTTTGCATGGTCAGTCAGGGCGCTGCCGTCTGTGTGTGTGTCTGTGTGTGTGCGTGCGTGCGCGCGCTTGGGGGAGCTGTGAGTTGTTTTTCCTAAACCTCAGTTTTCAGATTTTATTGCTGTGCTTGCACTTTGCAATAAATAAGTGGATTTTGGGCAATTTGGGCAATCCTTCTCTAAAAGGTTCACCAACACTGAGTTAGAGTTAAAAAAACTAGGTGTCCTGGTATGATTTTGGAATGTGTTTAGAATGGGCAGAAATGCTGAGCTGTGCAGAAAAAGCTACTCAAGGAAGGCTTTTTCAAAATCGCCCTCTTTTCAATGAACTTCAGCCCTATTTTAGGGTTAGGGGTGTGCACCAGGGTAGGGTTAGGGTTAGAAAAATGAGGTGTCCTGGCATGATTTTGATGGTTGGAATGTGTTCAGAATGGGCAGAAATGCTGAGCTGTGCAGAAAAAGCTACTCAAGGAAGGCTTTTTCAAAATCGCCCTCTTTTCAATGGAACTTTAGCCCTATTTTAGGGTTAGGGGTGTGCACCA